ATCTCAAGCAAGAGTTATTTCCTGAGTCTTGCCTTGCCCTTGTCATTGGGGGTAAGAGCTCTTTTTGCGCTAAGTCATCTAAGCTGAGCAAAGCTTCCCTAATCAGACATGATTAACATGCTTACTTTATTACAAGGAAATTGAAGCCAGAGAAGTTAATTCACCTGCTAAATAGAGGCAGAATTTATAAGCCCAGGCATGTGACTGTGATAGATTACAGTATGGTTTTCAGTGTCTGTCCTTGTAGTCTGATGAAAAGCTGTGTTGGCTCTGATGCTTTTTCTTATACTTCAAGGTAAAAATCTAAAATTTCACCCAGGTCTTTAAAATCTTAATTTATATTTGTAAGCGAGATTGAGCTGTCTGTACTCTTCCCCCCTGCCACATGCGACATTTGAACACATGGTCTTCTTTGCTTCAAGTTTAGAGTGAGTCATTTTCAAAAAATAATATGTGTATTTATTTTTTCACTTGTGTGTGTGCACACACACACACACTCACATCACCAGGAAGCAGAGCACAATGCATAGGTGCTCAGCTCATTTTCTCCTTTTTATTCAGTCCAGGCCCTCAGCCCAATGTGCTCCACATTGAGCACATTGAGGGTGGGTCTTCCCTTCTTGGTTAAACTGCTCAGGATATACCCTCACTGACATGCCCTGAGGTTTGTTTCCTAACCGATCTAAAAGCCGTCAAGTTGACAAGGAAGATTAGGACACTGTGGTTGTCCTAATTTTCTTTGAAGAATCTTCATGTCATCGGTGGCCACATTCATTTACATTTCTGTAACTGTGTGTGAATTAGCTTGCTCTGCATCCTTGCCAGCATTTTTCTTTCTGACTGGGCTGAGATGATCTGTACCTCACCATGGTTTTGATTCAACCCTTTTAATTGGGAGGTTGAGAATGTTCTCACATGCTTCTGGGCCCTTTATGCATCTTCTTTCGAGAACCTCTATTCAAATCAGCTAGTTTTTATGTTGGGTGATTTAGTTTTTTGTTGGTAAAGTGTTTTGAGTTCCTTATGGTTTTAGATTTTAATTTTTTTGTCTGGTGGACATGAAGAGTCAGGAGATGGTGAGGAAAAGAAAGGAACCAGTGAGCTAACATGGGCTTCATGTCCCCTAGGACACGGGACAGACGTCTTTCTCAGATCTTTCCCTAGACAATGGCTTCTGCTTATTTAAATTTTCTACTTGCTGCAGGATTACTTTGGTGACCTAGGATTTTAGTGGGAAATTGGCCATTTTGTGGAGATTTGGAAGTTATTAGCATGATTGATTAGCATTCATTTAACATAAAGGCAGAGATGTGTCTCTTGCATGATTATAAACAAGTTGATCATTCTGATTTTGAGTTTTGGGGATCTTCTTTTCTTTCTTGTTTAGATTTGAATTTTTTTAGCTTATTTTTTAAAATTATTTATTTAATAGCCACATAACTAGAAGAAGCATTTCATTATAACAGCATTGACATATTCAGAGAGCTAAGATGCATCTCTTTCAAAACTGAATGTAAATTTTTAGCTTCACAGTTGAATTAATATATTTATACAATATTGAACTCAGTATAAACCCTATAAGACATAAAATTGAATGAGGTTTTAACCTTTACAAAAGATCTCCATTTCCTTTTAAAATATACTGTTTCCTACAGACTCATTTTTAATGCCACTAAAAATTTATTGATTTTTGTATGTATATTGTATGTATGCATGTATGTATGTGCATGAACATGTGGAGGGCAGAGAACAACTCGTGGGAGTCAGTTTTCTCCTTCTACCATGTGGGATCAGGGGATCAAATTCAAGTCATCATGCCTGGCAGCAAGTGTAAAGACACCCAGGCATCTCCCTGCCTAGATTTGAAGTTTTTGTTTTTAAAAATTTATTTTATTTTAGGGGCTGGAGAGATGGCTCCACGGTTAAGAACACTGGTTGTTCTTGCAGAAGACCCAGGTTCAAATCCCAGCACCCACATGGCAGCTAACAACTGTCCATAACTCCAGTTCCAGGGAATCTGATGGCCTCTTCTGTCCTCTGTGGGCATTGCGTGACATGGGTGCGCTTACCTACATGTAGGCAATACACTCATACACATAAAATAAAGATAATAAAATATTTTAATTAAAATTTTTATTTTATTTTAATCATGTGTATATATGTATATGTAAGTGCAGTGTCCTCAGGAGCCAGAGGCATAAGTTCCCCTGGAGCTGGACCTGACATGGGTGGCAGGAATGAAATCTGGCTCCTCTGAAAGAGCAGTATATGCTCAAGCTCCTGAACTGTCTCTGCAGCCCTGATTTGAAGTTCTTTATTTATTTTTATTTTATATGTACGAGTGCTTTACTTGAGTGTATTTAAGTATACTACCTGTATGCAATGTCCACAGAGGCCAAAAGAGCATGTAAGATGCCCTGAAACTGGAGTTATAAACCGTTGTTAGCCGCCATGTGGGTGCTGGGAATGGAACCCAGGTGCTCTGCAAGAGCAGCCAGTGCTCTTAACTACTGAGCCATCTCCCCAGCCCCTATGCACCTGTTCTTAATAAAAATATGAAGTTATTGTTATTAGTGTTGTTTTATTAAATTCATACAATTAATTTCTAGTTTTGGTATACTTTAGAGAATTAATTATGCTGGGGGTGGTCAACTTGAAAGTTTTTCTTTGTTTCAAAGTAGATAGCTTTATGGAAAACAAAAGTTGCATTCAGATTTTGAGATTTGCCCTTTATCCTATGTCAGTATTTTAAATAGTCATTGAAAGACACTCCTAGTTATAGACTAAATGCTGTTGAGGGAGTTTATAACCTCTCAGCGTCCATCTAAAAACCACAGCACTGAAATTTGGTACTTACTATGCCTTTGCCAGAGTCACATCTTTTATATTTTCACTCCAAGGATGGTACTTTCCCAGGATGCACTTGAGTTCACACTCAAGGAAGAAGCCCTGAGTGTGGTCACAATGAAGCCCTGTTTGGCCAGCCAGTCACTTTCAGTCTAGTGATCTTTATAGTCACAGGTCTGTAAATGGGGGAAGAATGTCACGATGTTTGAGATGTTTTGATTCAGTTGAAGACAGCAGTTCATCATCACTGAAGTAGATGAAAATGAAGATTTACCTGTGAGCTTTGCATACCAGGCCTCTAAGCCTGTGCAAGTGTGTGTGCCTGCACACATGTGAGCAACAGCCCAATGGCAACTCCCAGTTATGGGTGCCAGGAATGGTTGTAAGGCCCATCCTCAGCTTCTACGCAATGAAACCAGCCTCTTTCCTGGTTCAGAGTCTCAAGAGAGGCCTAGATATCACTTTACTCCTGACAACAGTTCTTCTCACTCTTCTGACTCTTTAACTACTTTTTATTATTTTTATTAATGTGTGTGCATGTGTGCACGCATGTACTTGTCACAGTGTGTATGCAGAGGGTCAGAGGACAACCGTGGGTGCTAGTTCTTGCCTTAAATCTTGTTATTTGTTGCTCCATACACCAGTCTAGCTGGCCTGTGGATTACTGGAGATTCTCCTGGCTTTGCCTCCTAGCTCATCTAGGGCTAGTAAGATTACAGATATGTACTACTGTACCTGGTTTCATATGGATTCTGGGGATTTGAATTCATGTCTTTATGCCTGTGTGGCAAGTGCTTTGCCCACTGAGCCATCTCCTCAGTCCCTTAACCACTTTTAAATGTGACATTTTAAGACCATTATCCTCTTCACCTCGCTCTGCTGACTCCTGGCTCTATGAATATTTCTGACATTCCTCTCCCATGCCTTCCTTCACTTTGAAGCGATGATCACTGGAGGCTGGAGTCGGGGGGCATGGGGGTAGACCTCCCTTGACTTGGACCACATGTTCAAGGCATTTAGATTCACACTGAAGCTTTTTATTCTAAGAACAAGGTTGTGAATATGGGAGACTGTTTTATCTCTGCTCCCTAAGCTAAGTGGATGGGACCTACACAGATGGCACTGGAGGTTCAGAAAGAGCTGAGTGACCCTGAAGGTGAGGGAACCCCTAGAGCTTAGCGGGTGGAGTCCCAAGAAATATTAATACTGTACACCTGTGGCTGGGATTTGAGAATCACAGCCATGAGTACTCTCAACCTTAGAATCTCATGGTTTCTTTGCATTTTGTCAAGAGATAACCCAGAGGGATTTTCTGCAGGCCACTCTGTCTCCCCAGTCAGATCTCAGTTCCTTCGGGAACAGGGATGAAGTATCACCTGTTTTCTTCCATGTCACTCAGCATTGCTCACACCTAGACAAGATATGTATTAGGAAGAACTTCATTTCTTCAGGCAGACAGGGGTCAAGTATAATTAATTTCAGTAGTCCCACATTTTGCAAAAGATCATTTAGGGCTGGAGATGTGGATCAGTGGTTAGGAGTCTGTTCTAGTTTGCTTTTCTGATGTTGTAATAAACACCATGGCCAAAAGCAACTTGGGGAAGAAAGGTTTTATTTGGTTCACAGTCCACCACTGAGGGAAGTCTGGGCAGGGACTGAAGCAGAAGCCATGGAGGAATACCACTTACTGGCTAGCTCCTTTGCTTATGCACTAGTTCGTGCTCAGCTAGCTTTCTTATCTAGTCCAGTCCCACCTAGGGATGTACTGCCCACAGTGGGCTGGACCATCCTATATCAGTTAGCAATTAAGAAAATGCCCCACAGACAGGCCTTATTTGATCCAGGAAATTTCTCAATTGAGGGTTCCTCTTCCTAGGTGACTCTAGTTTGTGTCAAGTAGACAATAAAGTTTTACCAGGGCGGAGCTGCTCTTTCAAAGGACCTGAGTTTGGTCCCCAGCACCCACATTGGGCAGCTTACAACCACCTGCTGTTCTAGCTCCAGGGAATCTGACACCCTCTTCTGGCCTCAGCAGGCAACTGTACTCACATGCCCTACACAGGCACAAACAAATACGTATAATTAAAAATAAATCTAAAAAAACTCATGTTTTTCTCATTCACATTTGCAGAGAAAAATTTGCTTCATCCACATTGAAGAAAAACTCCAGTCTTTATAAGTAGGAAAAAAAAGCATTCCTTCATCCTTCCAAACAAGGTTCAGTACAACTGGATAACAATACATATTTCTGAAAAATACAACAGTATCTTAAATTGCTCACTAGTCTTTAAGTATAATTCAGATATTAAGGAAAAGGGCTTCTAATCACATTAACATATTATAGAAATCAAAATTAACTTACCACATAAAATAAATTAAAACATTAAATATTAACCTTTCAGTGCAACATATACAGAAGTCAGAATAATGAGTTCTAAAAAAAGCATCAGGTTCGTTATAATAAAGTCAAGGAGAAGTTGAATGTTTCAGTAAGTTATCACACTGTGAAGATGAGCTGCTTTTCAGGACTCTTTGTGTGGACACATGTGCACACCTGTATGTACACCATGTATCTTTCAAATAGACCAATGGTTGAAGAGAATAGGTCTTACACAAGAACATTAAAAGCAAACATAAGCCAGGTGTGGTGGCACACACCTGTAACCCCAGCACTCAGGAGGCTAAGGCTCAGAATGAGGGGTTTGAGGTTAGCTTAGGCTAGAGTGAGACCCTGTGTCAAAACCCAAACCAAAAGAAGAAACAAACACCCCTAAACATAAGTGTTGATGGTGTCCCCTCACCCCCTGGCCCTTTTTGAATCATACTTGGCAAGGCATGTTGGGAGGATAAGCACAGAACCTACCAAGAAGCTGGAACTTCCTGAGCAGTGTTTCCTGGAAAAGCATCCAGTGGCCCACAGGCTTTAGGAAACCTGGCTTGGGGATGCCAGGCAGCTTTTTATACCCAAAGAGAACAGCTTACCCTCCAAGAAGCTCCAGACCCACCGTCTCTTCCCTCAGTAATGTGCACCAACCCTGCTGCCTTCTCTTTCCTCATAGAAAAAGGGCCCCAGGACTACTGTGCCCATCTCTTCTGGGACATGTGACAAACTGATCCATGGCCTGGTTCTACATGCGTCCAACTGGGATGCTGTCTTCCAGGTTAGAGCTACCATTGTATCTTTCCATGGAGAAAATGTGATACGCTTACCATTACAACGCACAGAGCTCCTCGAGGTGCGTAGGCTTTTAAGAATTCATATTTCTTTTTAATTTTTAAAAAATTTTATTTATTTATTATTATTATTTTTAGTGTATGTGTACCCCCATGGTGTGAGTACGGAGGTCAGAGAACAACTTTCAGGAGTTGGTTTCTCTTCTTCCACTATGTTGGTCCCAGGGATTGAACTTAGGTCCTCAGATGCGGTGGTAATCACCTTTACACACTGAGCCATCTTGCTAGCCCTAGGATTCATTTTCAATTCATACAATGGGGATTTTCATGGTCCTCTGAGTCACTGGAACAGCTGTACTGTCTACTGTCCTGTGTGGCTGCTGCAGAGCCCTTTGTTTCTAGCTGTAATGGGCACCAAGCTTTTTGAAGGGCAAGGAAATAGAAAGAGCCTAGAATACTCACTGTGAACTGACAAAAGAGGGTTGGTACAGCTAGCCAAGAGCTCCCACTGCTATGAGATGCTTGTCTGACTATAAAATCAAAGTCAGCAAAAAAGCAAGGCTGCCATATGCTGGGGCATGGACGATGGTCCAGCCAGGCTTGTCTCAACCTCTTCTCTGATCCTTCTCAGACCTGCTACTCTGTAAAAGGGCTGATTAGGAAGGCACTTCTGGGGGCGTTTAAATTTGATTGCTTTGAAAGAGGAGGCACAGGGCTCAGCCTCTGTGACCTGCTGGACCCAAGAGCTAGAGTGTTCAGACACTAGACTGAGGTCCTCCCAGGGACCCTCATGTCTGTCCCCATCTTCTCCTACCTCTACGTTCTTAGATGCCAATTCCTCAAAACATCTTAAAGTGGGACATCTATCCTCCCACCATTAGCTGAAGAAAGTCTCATAAATACTTTCAATCAGTTCAAACTCTTAAAAGCAATCAGACCTCCAGGAGTCTCCAGCAGACTAGAAAAGATATATTGTCTGAAGTTAACAGTGTGAACTAGATTAAAAACAAGTGCTGTGCCTTTGCTGTTTTAGTACCTGGGGGCCAGGACTTGAGTCTTTCAGCAGGGTTTGCTGAGGACACAGGGGGCCAATGGAGGTCTAAAGTGCAGCTGATTGGTCTCTGAGCAGCAGGCTACACTCAGCCTTGACCCACCTGTATGACCCAAGGAATGCAAACTTAATCTATTTTCTTTAATAATTAAAAAAAAAAGACCTGCTGGGTGTGGTGGTGCCTGTAAACCCAGTACTCAGGAAGACAGTGCAGGAGGATCTTCAGTTCAAGGCCAGCATGGCTACACAGCAAGACCTTGTTTCACAAAACAACAAACCTAAATAACGATAACGTCAGCTGGAGCTGTGTCAGGGGCAATGGACAGACCCAGTTTCTTCATTTAAAGCTTTAGGCATACTGAAATAAGAGTGCCAAGTTAAGCCCTGGGGCAGATCAACGCCTAGATCATATAAAAAGAGAAAAATTCATAAAAATAGATGGAATGGGCAAGATTGAGAAAAAGGCAACATTTTCTGAAAGAAATTTCAAACTAACTTGGCACATTGAACGTCCCTCTCCTGATACATTGTGTTGGAGGTTCTGCAGGGCTGGGAGGTGGGGGGACTTTCACTTCTTAATCGGAGACCAGTCTCTTCATCAAGCAGCTTGTATGTCTCTACACTGCCATTCTGCTTCTAGACCATACCAAACAACGCAGAGACTAGGGACCAGAACCCCCTGTGGTGTTCAGGGAGCATGGAGAACATGAAAGGTGTGGTAGCAATTTTGTTAATAATGTCTACATTCTGCAAGGGAAAAAAACCCACTGGAATATTTCTCCTAATGCTTGGAAATAAATAGGAAAGTTCAATTTCTCCTTTTAAAAATAAAGCAAAACCCCAAGCAACAACATGGAAAATAAAGCTGGTTTCCTTCATGGATTTTGCCCAGTGCTAGAGCTGGGCTCATGAGGAAATTAATCTGCTTATTCAAGTGCTGGCATGTGTCTGCCCAGGGTGCCCACACAGGCTGTCTTACCCCCTTGCCTCCAACAGAGGGGACAGTCCTAGCCACTGACCTTGCTAACCTTTCTACAGCATGTATCCAGGGAACTCACCTGCTTTATGTTTTACAGGGCATGCCTTCTGAACCTCAGTCTTTGCTCCTATTGGGATACTGTCTTGGATTCTCTACAGCCCCTGGCAGGCTCACCAAGTCTCACTGTTTCAGAGGCTGGCCTTTTCTAATTGGTGTGACTTCTCAGTCAGCAGCTCATTTATCATTAAGGTGGACGTCTGCTGGGCTTATGCTTTTTACATTGACTTTTAACATTAAAAATTAAACCATTATCCATCTAATAAATATGACACAGATCCCAAAGGCAGCGACAGCTTGGGGAGATGTCAGCCGGGGTTAGGGGCTCACAGGAGGCCATGGTATCTTCATGTAACGATAGACATTTCCCCTTGTCCACTTTGTACCCCACCCAGTGAGCAGATGAGCAAACCCAGTAACAACCATGGAGTCTCTGCTTGGGACAGGTTGCCCACTGAGAAGAAACAGCCCAGAATCCATGCCTGGTAGGAAACACCAACTGACTGACGTATACACCTAGCATGGGTTAGCAGGAAAGCTAGCCCTTTGCGATTCCCGACCGACCCGTCTTTAAATCATGGTCCTTTGGCCTCTTCTCTAGAATATACTGAAGTACCCCAGCAGACAGTTCTCCACACAGTTTGAAGGTCCACAAAGGACGAAAGCTGCACAGGCTGTTGTAGATAGGGGCAAAGTCCTCAAGCATGTCCAGGCATCTGGGTACTGTTGGCAATTGTCCTGAAGAATGCTGTTCTGTTTTGAGTTGCCACAGGCTACCTGACCAAACTCCTCCTCTGGGCTCTTCAGACCACTGGTGGAAAGGAAAAATACGGTAAGCACTGTGGACCAGAGTCTAGGCATGCTGGAGAAACCCACGTGGGACAGAGACTTGGAGGTGTCATCAGCCAATGTCACCCACTTGTTTTGGTAGTCAGGCCCAAGTCCCAGTTCTAGATCAGCCTCAGGGGCAGCAACTTCTGAAACTGAGCTTTCAGTGACCAAGAGTGAGACAAGTTATAACAGAAGAGGGGGTGGGAGGAGGTAAAGGTCCCAGTCAGGAGGGCCCCAGTTCAACCTGACAGTGGTTGGTTTTCCTGTAAGGGGTGGCTTGTTGGGCAGTTTATGAGCTGGTCCAAGGCCTGGTAGTAGCATGATTTCTCCTAAGGCCACATGGGGACAGACCCATTATTTCTCAATAGTAGGCCCCGTCAATCTCAGCTGAGATGCTGAGGCTGCTTGGACTCAGTCCTTAGCTCCTCTGTCCAACTCAACCTGGACATTGTCCTGTCCTGTGGCTTCTCAGAAAGAGTGGAGAGGAGTGCCCTAGCCCAGTGGTGGGTCACATCTGTCCCAGCAGGGCTCTTACATGGCATCCCTAGTTCATTATCTGGCACACCTGCCCAGTGACACATGAGGTCATGGATGGCAGGGAGAGGTGCTGAATTCAGCTTTACTGCCTATCTTTGAAAGGCTAGACCCTCTCCTAGCTTAAAGCTAACTTTCTAAATTTGGGGATTGCAGTTGGGTGTGGTAGCATATGCCTTTAATCCCAGTCCTTGGGAGGCAGAGGCAGGTGGATCTCTGTGAGATTGAATCCAGCCTGGTCTACATAGTGAGTTCCAGGCCAGCTGGGGTTACAGGGAGAACCTATCTCAAAAACAAAAACAAAGAAAACCAAAACCAAAACCAAACAAAAAATCAAAACAATGGGGAGTGAAGAGGTGCCATTAATAAGCAACTTTACCACACACGTCCATCAAGGAATACCATAAATACTACAGAATCCACAAATTTTCCTAAAACATAAATACTTGAACATTGATGGGCTCTCTGGATGGAATAGCATCACAGGCTGGCTTGTTGGTATGGGTGGGCCTTTATAGGCCCTGTCTGGATAAAAGAGCTCTTAGACTCCAGCCATGATCAGATTTGGGTTCCTATACTGCTAGCTTAGCTCCACATCCAGGAGCTCTAAGAGTCTGGAGGTTCTCTGGAGACCTTTAATAGGCCAACTCCTTCTATTGACCAATGAGAAGGGAAAAAAAGTATCTTTTGGGACTCACTGTTTAGTTTTACAATACCTCACCTGCATTTCTGATGGTGTTTGGGATGGAACCCAGGGTACTTTCATGTATTATGGGAAAGCACCTTGCTACATCCCCAACCTCGTTTTTTAATTTTAATTTTTATAATTTAAAATATTATTTATGTGTATATATCTGCATGAGTATATGGACACATATGTGTGCAGGTGAGCATGTACCCATGGAGGTCAGAAGAGGGTGTCAGATCCCTCAGAGTTGGAATTATAGGGGTTTGCAGGACATAGCTTGTTATGTGAGTGCTGGGATCTGAACTCTGGTCCTCATGATTGCACAGCAAGTGCTCTTAACCACTGGGCCATCTTTCCAGCTCCTACTTTTTAAGAAACTGTTTCCCTTACTTGCCTGGGTTGACCTTGAACTTATGATCCTCTTCCCTCAGCCTCCTGAGTAACTGGGATTATAGACCTGAGCTACCAGGCCTGGTTTATAGAACACTGTTTTAAAAGAAGAAATTGAGATTCTGTGACCTCAGGTCACAGAGTCATCAGCTGGGAAAAAGAGCCCCCTTCTGGTCACAGACACTTTAGGATGCTCCAAACCCAAGCTGGTAGGGAAACAACCCATCTTTTTCCTCCCCCTGTTTCCTCTCAGCACTTCTACCCTGACTTGGAAATGGCAGCCATTTTCTCCACCCAGCAGTACCTCCCCAGGAAGAAAAGGGCCCCTCCCCATGGAAGCCTCCCTATACCTGTCTCAGAGTGGCAACAAGCAGTCCTTCCCTTCAGGAGGGCACTGGGCTTCTCGTGTCTGCAGACGAGGGCACGGCACCAGTCACAGTGCTTGCGGAGCTGGCAGCAGCTGGAGGTAGAAGGGGCAGTCTGAGCTGTGCTTGGCAAGAGAAGCCAGCCAGGCAGACCTGGGTACCCACCTAGCCTTCCTAAGGGTCCTCCAGAGCTTCAGCCACCTCAGGATGCTGAGAGCCTGGGAAGATGCTGACCAGTCACAAAACACCAGCTGGCTGATCTGTAGCGCCAGCAACTGTTGCTGTAGCTCTGCTCTGGCTTCTCAGGCCTACCTGACTTCAGCTTCCTTGGCTGGCTGAGGGGACAAAACAGAGACCTAGATGCTGTTTCCATAAAGGGCCAGCTGAGTTCTACCAATGTAGCCATGGCCTCAAATGGCCATGAGGATGAGTACCAGCAGATCCTGGGGTTGGGGCCATGATTCAGAAGGGGGGCCTTCATCAGGGAGCGCCATTGGGCTTGTGCCTCAGATGACCACCAGGACAGAACCTCTTATCTGTGTGAGACCTGGTTGTCTTGGAGGGCAAAAGCATGGTTTTGCCTTCACACCTAGCCCCACCGAAATGATGCTAATGTTTATTATGACCCCCAGCCTCTCACTAGCCTGAACTGTGCTGACTGACCCACAAGGGCCCTGTGCCAAACTAGGCACAAATCCTTGAGCTCAGTGACTTAGACTTTTGCCCATTTCAGGGAGTAAGTCTGGCCTGGTGCCTGCTTTGGGGAACATAATGCTGTGTTTCCCGGGGCTCTGATTGTGCTGGCCAGGCTAGTGGGCGGCAAATGTACCAAGACACAGTCTCCCTCAGTCTCCCTCAGCTGGGGGCTCAGCACAGCATCCTGGAAGACACAACTCAGAATTCAGAGGAGGAGGAGATGGTGGTGGAGAGGCAGGAAGGCTGTGTGGGTGATGTCAGCAGCATGCAGTTACAGTAGCAGGCACCTCTGATGTGTCTTTAGAATCTGTCAGGTGCCTTCTGCAAGGAGGAAGCTCTTCTGCTGCATTCACAGAGGGCTGGGAGTCACATCCAGCTTCTGAGCCCTTGCCCAGTTGTCAGTTTTCATAAGGGCCGAGGCAGAGCATGTCATTGATTTGACATTGGCATCTAGCAGCAGCACCCAGACCCACCACTGGGGGACCCACACATGCTCCAGGCCTTTGCACAGCTCGACCACCTGCCACACTGTGTGGAGAAATATTCACAGTCCTCTCTGCTCAGCTGACATCATTCCCATGTCATAACCAGCTGGTGGCTCTTGCATGCAGTTATGTTTTATATGCCTCCCCCGGCCCCTGTAGCGCAGGTGTGTGAGGGACATGACCTCAGGGGTAGCAAATACTCACTGGATCAGCACACAGGTGATAATGAGGACAGCTAGGGCCACAATGGAGACCACCACCAAGGCGGTGATGGCCTGCTTCTTCTGGCTGGCGGCCACCACGGCCAGGAGGTCCGCATGTTCGCAGCGAGCACCCACGTACCCGGAATGGCAGCTGAGGGAGAAAGGAATGTCAGTCTGTTCTTGAGGGGCTCCTTCCTCAGCTCTCGAGAGAGGGCTGAATTGGAAGAATCCAGAGCCCTCTGGGAAAGCTCAAAGAGGCTCCTATATCCTCTGAGATGGGAGGCACAGATGTGGGACAGCAACTCCCAATTCCCACCAAGGTGCTGCTTGCTGAGAGGAGGGGAAACTGATCCCCTGCTTTTCTGAGGATGGGGGACACTGTCTCTCTGCTAAGTTTTATGGCTGATAGCAGTGTTTATGATAAGAACCTCACTTGGCCAGCTGATAGAAATCCAGTTATCATTATTTTGTATGTGTACATGGTCATATGTGTGTGCATGCTGGTGTGGGTGCATGAGTGTGCACACACCTGTGGAACCCAGAGGTTGATGTTACGTGTCTTCTTCTGTCACTCTTTATGTTATTTTTGAAGAGAGGGTCTCTTACTGAACCTGGAGCTCACCTATTTGGCTGGGCTGGCTTGTCAATGAGCCTCAAATGTCCTCCTATCTCTGGGGTTATAGGTGTGTGCTGCCACACCTGTTTGTTTTTTTACCTGGGTACTCAGGTCCTCATAGTTTTGTGCCAAACATTTTATCTACTGAGCTGTTTCCTCAGCACCAAATCCAGGTTATTTTTAAATAAAATTTGTATATTCAGAATTTCAGATGAAAGAAAATGAGCTAGGTACATAGCCTGTGCTGAGCTCATCTGCTTTATCAAGTTTAATGAGTCCTGTGAGTTTTTCCCAGTGCATGGGGTCTACCCTCCTGCAACAGATGGGGGCCTGGGTCTGTCACCTAATCACAGAAGGGCTGGAGAAGTCTCAGGGCTCCTGTGAAGCCTTTCCCCAACCCCCTTGCTCCTGTGGGGTGGGCCTTGATCTACAAAATACCTCAGGTCTTAGCTGTTCTCTATGAGGAGAGAAGAAAGAGAAAAAAATAACCTTTTTTTTCCTTGTAATTTCCCAGTCTTCTAATATTAGACTTAATCACACGGATTATTTTAGGCACAAATCACAGGAGGCGGGAGGAGTGTCATCTCACCTGACTGCAGATGAGTCTTGCCTCACTCTGCAGCTGCCTCTACCACTGTTGGGTACAGCATAGTTAGCTGGGAAGTTCTGGCAACTTTGGGGGCCCAAGGTCACATCCTCAGTCTGGGCACCCAGGTGACTCTGGCCTGCAGCTAGGCCTGAGATGCAGAGGCAGAACTGGCCTGCAATCCAGAACCACATTCAAAACCCAGCAGTGCCCCTTTGTCCCAGGGTCCAGGCTGTCAAACTGACCCTTGTATAAGGGCTGGACAAGAAGGAGAAGCTGTACCCCATTTATGAAAAGAATCTGAATGATGTAAGAGTCATCACAAAGGAGGACAGAGGCAGAGACAGACACTCTCATCATGGGAACAGGTTCATATGCAGAGTGGATCTACTGCCTGGTGATGGCTGCTTGTCAGACACAGGCTTCTGCAATGCTGTTTGGTTTTTGTAATTCTGTAAATGAGGCTTCAGAGCTCCATTCAGGATGTTTCACCACAATAAGAACAAAAGAGAGGCGCAAGAGCAGAGAGGGAAGAGGGTGGTCTGGGAAGTCAGCTGCCTGGGCTGCAAGACCCCAACGCTGCAGCCAAAAGTTGAGTTCCGGCAGAGTGCCATGGGGCTGCTGATTAAGGCTGGAAGATGCTTTGGCGCCTTCCTTAGGTGCAACGCCTTGGCTGCAGTGCCCTCTATTTTAACATGTAGGATAAACCAGCTATGAAGTCTTTCTCCTCTGTGCTTAGCTTTCAGGCCACCCTGAGTCCCTATGCCTTCTGACAGTGCCATCTAAAAATGTTAAGAAATAGGAAAAGTACAGCTGTGTTAAGGTTTTCTTTTTCCTGAAATGTTCCTTGACTAGAAAAGGAATGCTTCTAAGCAAATGGGAAAGTATAGAAAGCATAATAAAGTGGGAAGAGACAGAAAAGAGACATCCATGTTGCTGCCCTGGTCCCCAAACTCTGTCAGATGCACACTTTTCATCTCATAGTGTTCTATGGAAGGAGAGAGAGAGAGAGAGAGAGAGAGAGAGAGAGAGAGAGAAACAGAGAGATGTGGGGAGAGACAGAGGGCGAGAGATAGTCTCACTCTTGTCCAGAATATCCTGGGTCTCACTATAGAGCCCAGGCTAACCTCCAATCTTCAGTAATCCTCCTGTCTCTGAGTGCTGGGATTATAGTTGTGAGCCACAATATAGGCTTCTGTGTTTATAAAGTTTTGAAGTTTTGTTTTATTTTTTAAAAAACAATTTTGTGTTTCTCATTGTCTTTACCATTTACTTAACTGACAGCTGTCAGCGGAGAGGGTACTGTTTTCTTCAGTGGTGCAGTCACTGGTAAGTTGCCCTTTCTCCAGTAACTCATCTCCCAACCACGCAGGAAACTCTCAACTCAGTGAGCCACACACACAAAGAGGACAGGAAGTAGGAGTGTGACTTGTTCTATTAGGAGGGGTTCTATCAGGAGAGGGAAGGGGGTGAGAGACAGAATGGGGTGTGTGTGAAAATGACCAAAATTCATTCTATAAATGTATGAAATTGTCAAACAGTTAAAAAAAAAAGCTAAAAAGAAACACAGACACAGACACAGACACACACACACACACACACACACACACACACACACAAACACAAACACATACCCTAACCAACTAAACAAAAAACTAAAATCTCAAATTGTGTTGTCTGTTGGGCTGAGAATGTAGTTGTGTGCCAGAGTGCTTGTCTAGCCTGCACAGAGCCTTAGGTTTGATCCCTAGCACCATAAATATAAAGCAAAAAGAAAAACAAAGCAACAATAACCCTTTGCAAACAATTTTAACGGCTTTCAGTAAGCTTTGCAGCTGTTAGCTCTGTCACTCTTCCCACTCAGATGACACCTGGTGAGCTCTAACCAGTGCTGGGCTTAGAGCTCGGGTCCGTGTTGGTATTTCAGATAACATCCTCAAAGCAGCAACTCAAAGGCAGGTACAACCTGCACAGGCTCTGCAGACAGTACTTCCTGTCTGTATGACCTTGAGCCAGGAACATCTCTTCACCATATACTCTGAATCTTCAAATGCATTAGTAATAAGTCCCACTTTATTGAGTTGAGTGCTAAATGAGTTGATATTGTGCAAAGTGCAGTAGGCAGTGCTCAGTACAAAGGCAGGCTATATCGTTGTCAAAGATGACAATAAAGGGCAGGGAATGGGTTGGGGAGATAGTGTATTTGGTAAAGCACTTGTGAACACTCAGACCTGAGTTCCATCCTCCAGGATCCACGTGAAAAAACCCACTGAGGTGACATGCTCTTGTAATACCAGCACTGCTGGTAGAGAAAGGTGGATCCCTGAGGCTCACTGGTCAGCCAGCCTGGCCTATAGGGGTGAGATCCAGACCAGTGAGAGACCCAGTCTCAAAAAATAAGGTGGGGCCTGGGGAGACAGTTTAATTGGTAAAGTTTTTGCTGTGCAAGCATGAGGACCTGAGTCTGGAACTCCAGCGCCCATGTAAAAGTTGGGCATGGTAAACCATGCTTGTAATCCTGGCAATGCGAAGTCTGGGATAGGCGATCACAGGAACTCGATGGACAACCTAACCAACTTGGTGAATATGAGGCCAGTGAGAGAGCCTGTCTTAAAAACCAAGGTGAGATCTATAGAGATGGCTCAGTACTTAAGAGCACTTGCTGCTCTTATAGAGGACCTGAATTCAGTTCCCAGTACCCATATTGGACAGCTCACCACTGCCTGTAACTCCAGCTCCAGGGAATCCATGCCTTTGGCTTCCGAAGGCACCTGATCTCACATGCACATAACCCACCTCCACCATGATTAATAACTGGCTCAGTTATTAACAATGCTTGCTGCTCTGGTAGAGGACTCAAGATCCCAACACCCACATCAGGTGGCTCACAACTACCTATAACTCCAGCTCCAGGGGATTCAACACCATCTTCTGGCCTCTGAGGGCACCTGCAATCATGTCACTCACACACACACACACACACACACACACACACATACACACACACGGAACATTTTTAGGGCTCTTTAGCTACATTATGTATGTCTTTATATGTAATGATTTATTCTTTGGCAGAGGCTGCTACCTTGGTGACTAGCCAGGTTCCTGAGATAAAGACTTGACTATCAAGGTCAACGATGAAGTTGAAGAAGTCTTTTAGAATGTTCTATATCCACTTGTGTTTAACATGGCCCACCCACAGGGCTGGGCAGAGAGTGGGTTCATTAGAACCAGTGGTTTGTGTATGGAGCTCACCTTTTCTTGATCTCTTAAAAACCAGACCCAGTGTTCTAGTTTGTTTCTTAATTCCTGTGACAAAATACCATGACCAGTACCAACTTGGGGAGGAAAGGGTTTATTTTATATTACATCTCCCGGGTCATAGCTCATCACCCGGGAGCCCAAGGTAGGAACTCAGGGCAGGAACCTGGAGGCAAGAGCTGGAACACAGGGCATGGAGGAACTCTGCTTACTGGCTTGCTTGCCTGACCCCTGCTCAGCCTGCTTTCTTATGCAACACAGGCCCACCTGCCCAGGGGTGGCACCACCCAGAGTGGGCTGGACCCTCCCATATCACACAACAATCAAGAAGATGACCCTCAGACATGGCCACAGGCCAGTTCAATTGAGGAAATTCCCCAATTGAGGCTTCCTCTATCCAGGTGTGTCAAGTTGACATTAAAGCTATCCAGCACACCCAGTCTGAGTGTGGTTCAGTGGGAGAGCGCTGCATCTAGCATATGTGGGGCCTAGGTTCCATCCCCAGCTCTGCAACAACAGAAAGGACTGGATTCACTCAGTCCTACCATCTCTCCAGTGTGGAGCTCGGGGGGACAGGTTCAGTTAGGGCTTCTTCTATGACTCCGAGTCAAAGGTCTCAGGACGATTGCCTTACTTTCCTTCTGGCACGACCTTATGCTGTCCTTGAGCCACGGGGATGGTCCTGCCTAAGGAAGCTGTGCTGGTATACCCTCAAGTGCTTATGTTGTGCTGGATGTGGAGCCTGGTATTCTAGCAGAGCTTTTGGTAATGACTGAAGTCACTACCAGCCACCTCCAGGTGTTGAGAGCTTAAATGCATCTCATGGGACCTGGAAGCTAAATCCTATTTAATTAAATCAATGACTGTTAATAGCCCCTTAAGTAGAGGCTTGGCAGCAATTTTCACAGAGTTTACTACAGACCTTTGAGGTATCAGTACCTCCAGCTATACACAAAGAAATCAAGGCTGAATGGGTTAAGTCACTTGTGTGCGATGCTTGGCAGGATTTTAACTCAGGTCTGATTTTAACTCAGGTAGGGAGAAGACAGAATCAGGGCATGGTTTTCTCCAGATATGCCTAGAGTGTGATGTTAGACTATAGCTCAACCCCCACCCCCATGTCATGTTGGGAAGATTATGGAGCTTCCATAACAGTGGCTCCTATAGCTATAGGAAATCCCCCACCCAGATCTGATCTCTTGTGTGTATGGCCTTGGCTACAGGGACACCTGTGGGTGCAGGAACGTTGCTCATGGTCACTGTCTCTGGGTGACTGTCAGAGTGAATGGCATGCCCCTATGGCAGGAGTGTTGGGAATATTTTCTTTTGTCAATGGCAATTTGTTTCAGTGGGAACAATGTCACAGACTTTAGGCACCAGGAGCATTCAGGGCCAGTGGGACACTTCAATAGTTGCCTATAGTTCCTCGTACTGAGCGGCCTCCCCCTCCTGCAGGCAGCTGCCCACTGCTTCCAGTCCACTCTACCTTAGGGGGAAGTGGGCGGCCTCTGATCTGGCCTGGAACTTGATATGCAGACCAGGTTGGCCTCCAACTCAGATATCTGCCTGCATCTGCCTCCCAAGTGTGTGAGTCACCATGATCAGCTCTTTTCTTTTAAAAATTTCATTTATTTATTTATTTATTATTTATTTATTTATATTATGTTTATGAGTGTTTGGCCTGTATGTATATAAGTCCACTTGTATGTGCAATACCCATGGGGGCCAGAAAAGGGTGTCTTATCCCCTGGAACTTGAATAACATACTGTTAGCTGCCATATGGGTGCTGAGTCCTTTGCAAGAGGAGCCAGTGCTCTTAACTGATGAACCATCTCTCCAGCCCCCTTTCATTTCTTTCCATTCCCTCATTTTATGGCATGAAATGTCATTTCAGGTTTTCTGGAAATCTAGACATTATTCTTCTGGTAGAACATGTCTAAGAAGCAGCTCCCGCCTTTGAGCTATAATCTCGGCTTGCCATGCCTTCTTTATACTTCTGTGACAGATGAGGCCCTGCCTCAAGGTATGTCAGTTTTATTGACCAGAATGTTGTGTGTGTCAACTCCTCAAAGTCGGGTGGTTCTTGAGAGCAGGGACAGCATGTTCTAGCTCTCAATGCAGGGACTCAGAGTTTCTGGTCTGGTGGGAATTAGTTAGTGAGAACATTCTTCTAGTTATATAAATACAAAAAGGTATAAGGTGTGGTCTTATTCTCCAGAGCTGATGTGCCAGCAGTGGGTAGGAAGGCAAGGCTTACCAGGTCACCAGGCCTTTGTTCAGATGAACTGTGTCTGTGCTCTCAGAGTGCTGTGCAGAGGAAGGGCATATGTCACTCTTGTGGACATGGAGCTGGAGGAGCTTTCTGATGATCTGGTTAAGGGCGGATCACTCACAACCCTCTGGGGTCATATGGTGGCAGAAGGGACTCAGCTTAATGGATTAGCAGTGGCAGCAGGTGATGGAGTCAACATTCTGCTTTGGTGTCAGACTGTATTGGAGAGTGGTGGGGATCAGAGGACTGGAGAGGACAACCCTGTCTGAGTGGTGGGTGGGCATGTCTCTGCCCATTGGCTGTAGCTGTGAGCTCAGGCCAGCACTGCTCCTCTTCTGTTATTTCAAGAGAAGCTGGGCACCTTCGAAGAAGTGTGATGCCTAGCTTCTAAAACGCCCACCAGGACTTAAAGCCACCAGACAACAACATGAAGTGTCACTTCTGTGGGCTGGATACTGCCCTTGGGCCACCGATCCAGCGGGGAAACTGAGGGAAAAAGGTGGGCATTGCATGCCCCCTAGACATCAGCTTTCCCAGCTGGCAGGGTGTCTTATTCTGAGCACTTAGCCCTGAAGAGGGACTTGTGAAGAGCTTGTGGGAACGATCCTCACATTTCTCTATAGAGGAGGGTTCACCTGCAGAGGAAGATGCCAGTACCTTCCTTGGAAACAACAGAGCTTGGTGACTTGAGGTGAATTTCGGAGGGATCCATCCATGTCCACCTTGTCATATTTACAATGGACAGATGACAGTCTGTAAACATCCTTTCTAAATTTTCATGGCTTCCACTGCTCAGAGGCTAAAATAAAAGCTCACTTCCAATAAGCCCTAGAAACATCTTTTCCTGCCTTCCCAATAGGTTGGAGCCTATAGCAGTCCCACCCCCGGAGACCCCAGGCCTGGGAACCTCTGTGCTTGTTGTCCATTCGTCAGTTCCCACATCTGCTCAGTGGCTTTCCTCCAGGTCCTTTCTTCCCTAAACCACTGGCCATGGTGATCACTGGATGGCTCTTTTTTGCTGGGGTGTGTGTGTGTGTGTGTGAGTGTGTGTGTATGTGTGTGTGTGTGTGTGTGGTTTGTCTTTTTGAAGCAGGGTCTCCCTGTAACCCCAGCTGTCCTGGAACTCACTATGTAGACCAACCAGGCTGGCCTTGAACTCATAGAGATCCGCCTGCCTCTGCCTCCCAAGTGCTGCACCACCACGCCCAGGTGTGTTTTTTGTGTATGGGCATGTATGCATGCATGTGGTGGTCAGAGGCCTGAAACAACTTTGAATGGTGGTCCTTTGCCTTCACCTTGCTTGAGACAATGTCTCTCTTGTTTGTTGCTGCTTACACTAGGCTAGCTGGTCCTGAAGCTCCTATGATTCTCCTGTGTCTGCCTCTTATCTCCTGGTAGGGAATGCTGGGATTACAAACATGTACCCTATAGCATCTGGCTTTTTGTGTGGGTTTTGGGATCTGAACTCAAGGTATCAGGCTCTTGTGGCAAGCACTTTACTCCCTAAGCTACCTTCCCAGCCCTCATCATTGGCTCTTGACTAATGACATTCAGAGCCTATTTTGACAAGGCTCCCCTGAAGGTGGAGGCCACCAAGCCATGACATCCCTCCTTGTTCTGTGACTTGCTTACTCTCTATATGTCCTACCAGTTATTTCGTAGGATGGATGAAAAATGTCTGGAGTGCCAAGGCCACTATAAAGGCTCCCAGGTACCCGGATCAATGCCTTTGCCCAGAGACTCTAAGCTGGAAACTAAACTCTAGTCAGACTTTGCTGAAATGCTGTTAAAAATGCAGACCTGGAGCCAGGTATGGTGGCATAAGCCTTTCATCCCAGCACTGGGGAGGCAGAAGCAGGTGGATCTCTGTGAGACAGAGGCCAGCCTGGTCTATATAGCAAGTTCCAGGTAAGCTGAGGCTACAGAAAAACCTTGTCTCAAAAAACAAACAATATCTCTAAAAACTATCAAATCAAACCGCAACACGGCAAGCTCTCGGTACTCCTCCTCCATCTGAGGAACCTGACTTTAGGGCAATGATCTGGTAGCATGCCCCTAGACCTGTGGTTCACATCCTCCAATTTGCCCAAACTGCTAAGTTTCAAGAATCCTCCAACCAGCCTCATGGAAGCAAATGCTCTTTGATTTGGGTGCCCAACCACCCCCAGCAGATGAGGGGACACTTAGACACTTACACACATGCTGGCTTGTCCTCCTGTACCAAAAACCTGCAAGTCCCATGGAAGCAGAACTGAGTGTGGGAATCCGGGCATTCGTTGAAGTGAGACACCACTGCAGCAGCCACAGGTGGGTCTGCAAAGGGAGAAGAGACGAAGATCAGACCCACACGGTTCACATGTGCCTCCTTCAAGAGGTGACTCCTGTCTCCACCCAGGGCCCCCTCAAAGCTCTCATTCCTAAAGCTAGGCAGGACCCCAGAGTATTTCCTGGTTATTTTTTCTGAGACAACAAAACAATTTCCTCAAAAGGCTTTGATGTGATTCAAAGATAGCTGCTTAATTTCAATTTGGCAAATTGGTAACAATCTTTTTTTTAAACAACAACAACAACGGCCCTCATAAAATTTATTTGCAGCTGGTGTGGTGGCACATATGCCTGTAATCGCAGCACTCAGGAGATGGAGGCAGGAGGATCAGGAGTTAAAGGCCAGCCTCAGTGACACAGGAGTTAGAGGTCAGCTTGAGTCACATGACACCTTGTCTTTAAAAAAAAAAAAAAAAAAAAACCAGAAAATGAGGATGGGGAAATAGTTCAGTTGGTAAAGTGCTTGCTCTGCAACCACGAGGACCTGAGTTGGAGCCCCAGCATGCCATGGTAGTGAGGAGTGTAATCTCAGCACTGGGAAGGAGCCAGGCAGGGCCCTGGGGCAACCCTGGCCAGCTGAGGGCAGACAGAGCTCTGTGTCTTGTAACAGTGTAAGAAGGATGCTCATTTGGTAGAAATATACTGACACATGTAGGATGGGTTCAACTTTCCCTACTTCTGTGCTCAGAGAGTTTTCAAAGCAGACACGAGTAATGGAAGATGAAATCTTCAACAATGTCCCCCAAATACTTGAGACATGAGTAATGGAGGATGAAATCTTCAACAACATCCCCCAAACACTTGAAGAAGCGCCTGCCAGTGTCCATTCTCCTGTGCTTCACACTGCTCAAGAAGCCAGAAAGTTCAAACTATGAAAAAACTCTGTGTAGTAGTCACAGTAAGGATAGATGGCAGGCTGGGCTCAGTGACCTCAGAGTGCAGGGTGAAAATGAGAAGCTTGCGGCTTAGAACACACACTTCTCATCCTTTGTGTTTTGAGATAGTGTCTCATGTAGCCCAGGCTGGCCTAGAATTCACTGTTACTGGGCTGGCCTTGAACTCTTGTTGCTCCTGCCTCTCCTTCCCAAGAGCTAGGAATTGAAGTCAGGGTTTTTTGCATACTAGTCAAGCACTACCATCAGAGCCACACCCTCAGTCTGCTTTTGGTCCCTCATGCAGTCACCTATCTGCCTGCTGTAGGATAACTGTTACAACCACTAAAAGGCATTTAAAAAATCTTTTGCTGCTGGGTGTGGTGGCGCATGCCTTTAGTCCCAGCACTCAAGAGGTAGAGACAAGACTGTGAGTTCAAGACCAGCCTGTTATATATGGAATTCTAGGGGCTATGTAATGAAACCCTGTCTCAAAAAAAACCAAAAAAAAACCCAAAACAAAAAACCTCTGTTTTAATTACAGTGATATATTTGCTTTTCAAACTTCTTGGGATCTTAACACATTTCCTAATTACAAACGTGATTCATTTTTTTAAGATACCAAAATATAATAAAAACCACCTTAGATAATAAAATGCATCTTTACAACCCGGCGAGAGCCATAAAAGCACACATCGCACATGACTGAGAGCTTCTGGCTCCTGTTCTAAAAGCCATGCACAAAGCATATTGCAACTGGGGAACTGTCCTTGAGTGGGACCTATAAAAGGACACCCCAACACCACAGCATGGTCATTCCCAAGACCAGAGCATTTCTACCAATGCTACAAGGGGAAGGTTGGGGAGGGCTTTGCCATGTACCAGACAACTTCCTTAACTCATCTGTGTCAGGGCAGGTGACCAACCAGGGATGGGCTTTGCCTAGGTACCACGTCCTCATTGGGGAACGGGGTGAAAGTGCTTCCAGTTTATAGAAGTGAGTATTCTGAGGGAACCCGAGTCCCCAATATGTTCCCCCAAGATTGCGACTCTGTCTCTCAGCGTCTTCTTCCTCCTTCTTTCCTCTTCCTTTCTTCCTCCCTCCCCTTCTCTTCCTCCTCCCTCCCTCTCCCCTTCTTTTTCCGCTTTCTCCTCCTTTTCTTTCTTTTTGAGACAGGTGTCCTCATGTGGTCCAGACTGGCCTCAGATTCACAGCAATCCCCTGCCTCAGCTGAGTGTGGAATTATTAGTGTGTGTCACCACACCTGACTTTTCATCTCCTCTTTCTCCTCCCCTCCCTTCTTTCCTCCCTTTCCCCCTCTTTCTTCTCTTCCTAAAAACTCAAGAAAATATCAAGAGACAAAAGGTCTAGAGACTTAAAAATACAGTCAGGTAGAAAAGGGAGGGGTGAAAGCCAGCAGGGAATAGCCAAAGGAGAGCTGCCCTGCCAAACACATGGAGGGCAGGGCGGGGCAGTGGTCCCCAGGGCTCAGGGACTTCTCCTGCAGGTACCAAGTCAGATTAGCACCAGATTAGTTGATAGGAAAAGCAAATGTTCAGGTGAACAGCCCTGCACCCTGCACTTACCAAGGCTGGAGTTTCAAAGCTGCCTAGTTCCTGTTGTGAAATTTACAAGAGCCCCCTCCATCAGGGGACCCTCCACCCATCCTGTGGACACCACTGCTCTCCAGAGAAGCTATGGAAGAGAGACCACAGACCCACTAATAGGGCCTGGAGCCTGGCCCCTGTCATAGGAAGAGGGTCTGGAACAGCAATCCGGGATGGGGAAATCCTGGTTCAGTTGACAGGAGGTTCAAAGGGTCAGGCAGACACCATCTGCACAAAGACTTCCGGGGGTGCAGAGGTGGCGGCAGCCACACCCTGAGCAGTCTTGAATAGCAGCCCTAATTGGACTATGTATCTAGTTAGTTGGCGGGGGCTGGTGAGTCTGTGGCTCATTACTCTTACCCAGATGTAGGAAGCCAGGAACACATTTGCCTGTTGCAAAGCTGACACCAATTACAGTTCTTCCATCACTTCCTCAAGCAGCCCAAGTAACTTTCTGCCTCATTCAATGTGACATCTAGCTGTATCACCCAGCCAAGGCTTGCAGTCTGGGGCCAACTACTTTCAGAGGTAACTAACCCTTCTTCAATGTCTGGGAGAAAAGAATTTAGTAAAGACAAGTCTTCCTGTATCTCCCAGCACAACCAGGGAAGACCAGACACTGGAAAGGTTCCCCCTGCAGGGCGGGGAAGACATCTCACCCTGAGGCCTGGCTGGAGTCCCCAGAGTCTAGGAAGGCTGGGTGGAACTCTAACCTCAGGACCAGTGTTACACATGGGCCACGTGTGAAGGAAAGGTTGGTGTAGACTTCCTTAGTAGGAGAAGTGCCACACTGAGCTCAGGGGTGAACTCTCTAGACACATACACCTACCTATCTGTCCCCTTGGTGGGTGAGGGCACTTGGGGGTGGTTGAGAATGCTCTGTAGACTTGTTTTTGTTTGCTTTTCGTGGTTTGTGGCTTTTTTCCCCCTACACAGTTCACTTTATAGCCTTGACTGGCCTGGAATGCACCATGTCATTTGGGCTGACTGAAAACTCCTGGGAATCCTCCTGCCTCACCCTCCAGAGTGCTAGGATTGCAGACATATGTCACCACACCCGGCTCCTTTGGACACCTTACAAAGGATCCTGAAGAGGAAGGATGCTACATTGTAGCTGCACCATTGGCCTTTACTAGAGACAGGAACAGCTCCTGTGAGACAAGAGGGCAGGTTTCAAGGGAGTAGAAGCCATCAGAGGATGAGAGTGATCAGGGTGACATCTGTGGCTCAAGTTGGTAATCTGTCTTATTCTCTGGTGCTACGGATTGATGAGGGGAAGCTGAGGGTTCTCAACTTACTGCGAGATCTCTTTTAACATGGGCTAGCGAGATGGTTCAGCTAGTAAAGGCACTTGCTGCCAAGCCTGATGACCTGAGTTTGATTCTCAGGACACGTATGGTGGAAGGAGAGAACTGACTCCTGAGGGTTGTCCTCTGACCTCCACATATGTGCTTTGCTCCTCACCCTATACACATATGTACGCACACAAATAAGTAAATAGGTATATAAGATAAACGTTTCCTGTAACAGGACTGCAGCACACAGACTTGCCAGGTCTTCCAGTAATTTTTTTTTGTTTTTGCACCAGATGATTTCCATCCTACCTGATTTCTGCATTTCTCCTGTTCATAAACTGGCTTTGGGACTCCTTCTCCCGACAACACTCCCACTCAGGGACAAAGACTCCTCATTATTTGCCGAGCCTCACACTGTTCTATAGGGTAACTACAGTTAGACTTTTTCAGGTGCAGATAAGCTTGCTGACAGCACACGGCTAAAATTCTCGTTTGTCTGTGATTTTGAGAAAACGGAGCACCGTTAAAAGGATAATGCTCAAGGCCAGGACAGCAAATGATGAGGAGGATGAGGAGGTGTGTGATCCAAACTAACCCCTCCTAAGCAGCAGGGGTCGGGGAGGGGTGTGTTCCTGAACTGGAGCAGCTACTAGCAGAGGGACACTTTTAGGCAAAACCAGAGGAATTCTGCTGTGTTTGGAAGACATACAGGGAATTGAAGGTGAAGAACTTCTTATTCCCGCAACGGCAGAGGCAGAAAGTATAAACAGCTGCAAAAGAGATTTCCAATGCTATGGATATTGGCTCAGGGGTGGCTGGGGCTGGTTCGCCCGGTGGCATTGTGACTGCTGTGGAGTCTCTGTGAGTACTCCACAGAAGAGATCAGGGCCTTCTGGCTCAGGACAGGACTCAGATGGGACTCAAATAGCTCCTGCAGCCTAAAACAAGGCTATAGGGGAACCTGAGGGGCAGGGCACATATCTGAACCAATTTGATCCCCCTGTTCATTTCTGGCTTCAGGCAAAACCCAAGAAATACGACTGAACCAAGTTCAAAGAAAGACACCAGAGAAAGGTGGATTCGTGCTTGTTAAGATGAGTGTTGGCAAATCAGACACAGCTATGCAGTCACCAGTGGGACCAGACCCCACTGGGGTTCACACAGTCACACTTATTTTGAAGTCAAAGGCAGAGTTTGCATCAAGTTTGATGCT